CTAAACTCGTGATTCAAATCACTCCACAAGAGGTATGATCAACACCGCTTGAATGATCCTAACATGCAAATTCTAAAGACACAAGAAATTGCACAGGAAATGGGAGATAAAGCTCTCAACCAAGCTAATGAGAAAACTCACTTTTCATTCAACTTCAAATTGTGTTTACAACAAGACATCTCAGGGCTATATATAGTCATCCTAGCAAGCCATATGAAAAGTCTTAAGCAAATGAAAAGACTTGTAACTTACCAGAAATGAAAATACTTGTAAATGAAAAGACATAACTTACAAGAAATGAAAAGGTCAAGAACATGGAAAGCCAACCAAAATAAGTGCAATCTCGTCCATAATGATGGATGTGAGTGTTTGACTTGGTTTTTGAATTAAATGAGTTGACTTTGACTTGTCTTGATGGAGTTGACTTTGACCTTGACCAAGTGGACTTTGACTTGCCTTAAAAACACTTAAAAATGCATAACTTGCACCAAATTGAAGTGCATAGTTCCAACTTCTTGCACATCTTCCTTTTTTTCTCTTGTCGAGTTCAAGAACGCTTGGACACGAAGTAGCAAAGCTTGTTGAAGTTTCCTAGCTCTCGATCTTGTAATCGGTCCATGAGGCATAACAAAGGTAGCTTCTTGGTTCATATCACAACGGCTAGTGAATATGATATTTAACAAAACATATTGGATAGAATATGGAGGTCTACGTAGATGACATGCTTGTAAAAAGTGTGACGTCCGCACAACATGTGGCTGACCTAATAGAGTCTTTCAATGTATTACGACCCTGGAAAATGGAGCTTAATCTGACCAAGTGTGTATTTGGAGTGTCTTCAGGAAAAATTCTAGGCTTTATGGCTAATCGTCGTGGAATTGAGGCCAATCCATATAAAATCAAAGTCGTTCTATTGATGGACTCTCCAAAAATATTGAAGCAAGTCCAATGCTTAAATGGCCAAATACCTGCATTGAAACGATTTGTCTCCAGGTCTACAGACAAATGCCTCCATTCTTTAAAATTCTTAGAATGAAAGGGAAATTGAGTGGACAAAAGAGTGTGAACAAGCACTCAACAAGTTGAAAAGTACATGGGTACAGTGCCATTACTCTCTAAACCTGAACCAAGCAATTGCTTGTATTTTTACCTTGCTCTCTTGGACTTGACGGTTAGTTCGGTCTTTATCCGAGATAATGGAGTCGACAAAAACCAGTGTACTACACTAGAAAGTGGATGATTAATACAGAAACCAGATCTCCAAGCATTTTAGCATTGGCTTTGATCACTTCTGCTCGGTCGCTGCGGCCATATTTTCAAGCCCATAGGATTGTCGTCTTAACGAATTTCCCATTACGGCAAGTCTTCTATAAACCAAAACTTTGGGTAGGTTAATGAAATAGACGTTAGAGTTGAATGAGTATGACATCAGTTTTGAGCCTCGAGTATCCTTGAAGGGTCAAGCCTTCGCCGTCGTTATGGCTGAATTAACAAACAAATCAAATGACAGTCGATTCTAAGAAACAGTGAACTCTATACATCGATGGGTCATCTAAAGAAAAAGGTGTGGAGTCAGAATCCTTTTACAATCTTCGAAAGGATCATGGTTCGAATACGCATTGAGATGTTATTTCAGGGCATCTAATAATGAAGCAGAGTACGAAGCTTTATTTTTTTGACATCAGATGTCTCAAGGTACGGGTGTAGCATATTTGATAGTCGTTAGTGATTCCCAACTCATAGTTAACCAGATCACTAAAGAATTTCAAGCAAAAGACAAAAAATGGCTAGATATTTCCAAAAGGCACGAGAAAATTTAGCAAAATTTAGAGACTTTGTGATAAGGCAAATATCTCGTTCAGAAAATTCGAACTGATGCATTAGCATGGTTGGCTTATACTTCTGTAACTGACTTATCTCATACTATCCTGGTCGAAATGCTAGGTGCACCATCAATAAATGACGAAGAAGATTGTGAAGTCACCGTGCGTGCTAACTTTTGGAATGATCCAATAGTAGAATTTCTCCAAGGTGTACAAGCAGAAATCAAAAATGAAAGACATAAATTAAGAAGACAGGTTGCACACTACTTGATTCTACACGGGGTGTTGTAAAAGTAGGGGTATTACTTGCCACTGTCGAAATGCTTAACCACCAATGAAGCAGAGTATGGATCTGCGAAGTACATGAAGGAATTTGTGGAAGTTATAGTTGAAGGGATCGGATCTCGTAGCGGAAGCGCGTGAACGCGTGTGTTTCGATATTGTTTTAGAATTACAATGAAGAAAATACATAAGCACGAATAAAAGGAAGTTAGTGAAACATACATTTGAAGACACCTGTTCAAATTAGACACCAACACCACCAAAAAGTGTTCCTCGCTATCCTCTAGATGTTAAGAACTCGATTTGTGGGAACCGTCTTATAATTGAAAGGGAAATTGAGAGATCGAGGGAGAGATTTTTTCATTGGAGTTTCACAAACTCAATTAACCGAGGACCTAGGGACCAAAAGGAATGGGAGAACCTTCCTTTTTATGATGAAGAGTAACTGGGGAAGTCAACTTCCCCACTTAACTTTCTTATTTCCCACAATTAATGGTGGGAAGTTCGCTTTCCTCCCATTTTTTTCCCTCTTTCTTTCTTTTTTTTCTTTTTTTTTTAATAAAAACAGTTTTATAAGAATAATAATTAACTAAATCTATTTTAATTCATTACACAAAAGAATTATTAATTAAATTTAATTTAATCTCATTTAATTTAACCAAATTAATATATCACATTAATTAAATTAAATTAAACTTAAATTAATCAACCATATTCTAATATCCATCGCTGTCATAATTTTGTATTACAATGTATTAACAGACATTATACTAATTGCATCTCATAGAAGTAACCTTAATTCGCTTTAACAAATTTGAACAGTTCAAATTTTTTTCTAGACTAAATGTTCTTAACTATCCTTTACGAACTAGCAAGGAGACCTAATGGACCTACATATCTGAAGCTCCAACGATATGAGATTAATTGATTAGACTCATTAACCATATTAATCAACATTCGATGACTGTTGGTCACTCCACTACAGACCCACAGCTGCACTCGTCTCGCTGTAGAATATTATGCGTCCATGGATTTTGAAAATTAACGGTAAGTCAATCCTTCACAAGTGTTCATAACCACAGATGGGTCAAATTACCATTTTACCTCTGTATTACATCTTGTACCTTAACTACCGCTGATCCTCTAATGAACAACCCGGTCATGGGCCAACCAATATTTGAAAGTCCCTATCAGGCCAGTGATTGGGTGGGGCACCTTGTTCAAGTCTCGAAGACAGCACTTAAGAGAACACTCATCTACTTACTCTAAATTTGGGAAGTAGTGAATTCGATCTTGTGCAGTTATGTTCCCAGCCCCTCACTCCGTCTGGTCCCCACAATGGTAGGAATATTGAGTCGGCGACTCGAGCCACTCTCACCCATACAAATCAAAGGACGAGCCCTAATATGCAGGAGTGCAGAAGTCACTCATGATTGAGATTGAGTTACCTAGTTATCCTATTGAAATATTAATCTATTAGCTAACAGTATTACAGCTAAAGATTAATTATTCCGCGGTCTGGTCTTATACAAACTCATTGTATACGATACCCCCACTCGTATGTCTCCACACGAACGACCTGGATCAAGGCCTTTGTAACTATTACAAAGTGGACTATATCCATAGTGCTACCAAGATAAGGTACCAAACCTTATCCATATAATATAGACCCTTTCAGTTACTACTGGAACATTGTCCACCTGCATATTGAATATATACTGTATATATACAGTATATATCAAATATATACGCCGTATATCTATTATATACTGTTCTAGTTTCATAACATAACCTCAGATGTTAGTTTATTGGATTTTAGTTTAATGCAATTCTAAGAGAAATATCAATAACAACTTTATTGAATGAATATTTGTTTTATGTTTAAAAACCACGAGTTTAGGGCATAAAACCCAACAAAGTCCCAGTTGAACTAAACTATAGTGGGGTGTACAAAAGCGAAAAGCAATAGTGGGTTGTACAATAAAGTACAAATACAATAAACTAGGGCATACACTATACCTTTTACAAGTCTCCCACTTGCCTTATGCTATATTGTACATATCTCGTAGGCCTAGGCTTTGTAGATTGCCCTCGAACACTTTAGCCATAAGATCCTTTGTAAACAGATCAGCAATGTAATGCTCTGAAGCGATCTTCATGACGATCGCGTCCCCTCGTGCATGATTTCTCATATCAAGTGATACTTTCTCTCTATTTGCTTGCCTTTTTTGTGACTTCGGGGTTCATTAGAATTTGCCACAACACCACTGTTTCCACAATAAAGTGTAATGGGCAAAGTCATGTTTGGAACAACTTCCAAATTAGTTAAGAACTTTCTAAGCCACAACGCCTCTTTTGCTGCTTCACAAGCGGCAACATATTCGGCCTCCATTGTGGAGTCTGCGATGCATCCTCGTTTGATGCTCCGCCGTACTATAACTCATCCATTAAGAGTGAACAATGATCCGAAAGTCGATTTCCTTGAATCCTTATCACTTTGGAAGTCAAAGTCAATGTAACCTCTAATGATCAAATCCTTAGCGCCATACACAAGCATTAGTTCCTCGTTCTCCCAAGATACTTGAGGATTCCCTTAACGACAGTCCAGGGATCATGGATTAGATTGATACCTATGACAATCCCTACTACATATCAAATGTCAGGCCTAGTACTCAACATGACATACATCAGGCTGCCCACTGTTGAAACATAGGGAATGCGTCTCATATCCTCAACTTTTTGAGGTGTCTTAAGACTTTTTTCCTTAGATAGAGAGATTCCATGTCTGAAAGGTAGTAAACCTTTCTTGGAATTTTGAATTGAATATTTTACAAGCATTTATCCATACAAGTTGCATGAGACAGGACTAGTGTTTTGTTCTTTCGATTCCTTATGATTTGAATCCCCGTAGCAAACCGAACGTCTCCTAAATCTTTCATTTGGAATTCAGTTGCTAGCCACATCTTAATGTTAGTTAGGAAACCTACATCATTCTCAATGAGTAGGATATCATTCACGTACAACACCAAGAAAGCTACAATGTTGTTGATGTTTTTCTTGTATACACAAATCTCATTGTCAAAACCATAAAACTTGATTGCAGTATAAAATCTTATATTCCAAGATCGACATGCTTGTTTTAATCCATATATGGATCTTTTAAGCCTGCAAAATTTTTGCTCTTGATCTTGCTTAATGAACCCTTATGGTTGAGACATATAAATACTCTATTCAAGATTGTCATTCTGTAAAGCGGCATTAACATCAATTTGTCAAATTTCATAGTCATAAAACGTGACAATGGACAAGAGTATTCTTATAGACTTTAGCATGACAATTGGGGAGAAGGTTTCTTCATAGTCCACCCCTTCTCTTTGGGTGTAATCCTTTGCCACGAGTCTAGCCTTAAAGGTCTGTACCTTTTCTTTGGCGTCTCGTTTTTCCTATAGATCCACTTATAACCTATAGGTTTGACCCCATCAGGTTGATCTATAAGTACATAGACTCCATTTCAAGGTTCACAGCTTTGATCCATTTGTCATTATCAACATATTCCATTGCCTTTTTGTAGGCAATGTGTCCTCAATGCCATCATCAGGTACAATGACCTGGGTTTCTGTTAAACACACATAATGATCAAGTCGTGTCACAACCCTCCCACTACGTCGAGGCACTCTAAACTCTTGAGATGAATGTAACTTACGGGATGTAGTAGCGCCATCAACAACTATTACTGAAGTGCTAGCATTATCAACAACTTTTGTTGATGTATTTGTAGATTCATTGGAATTCTCATTTAACACAATCTTGCTTCGTGGTTTATGATCTGGTAAGAACCAATTTGTTATTGATTTCTACAAAGGGGAAAAAATATATATTTATTGGAATTGTTGGAGTTAAGAAAGGCATTTTGGTCTTTTGACAAAAAAAAAAGACAAAAGAAAAGAAATTTGAGTTGTTTTTTTGAGGTGATACGTGTATTGGTGTGGGTTTTGGTATGTGTGACAGGTGTTTAAAAAAAAGATAAAAAAAGAAAATGAAAGGTAGAGAGCAGCGAGCGGAAACGAAGGAGAAGAACGAAAAAAAGAGAGGGAAGTGAGAAGAAAACAGAGGGGAAGAAGATGCTCAAGTTTGCTGATAATTTGTAGCTGAGAACCTTGGTTTTGAAGTTGGAATCGGAGAACTCAACAACTGAAATTAGAAGACCAATTTGGTAATTAAGCTTTTTTTTTTGCAAAGGTATGTTCCTTAAAATTAAAAATTATTTTAACCATCATGGGATGGCTCGAGTGGTCAATGAGGGCCTTTGTAAATAGTAAAGGATTTAGAGGGAATGAGTTCAAACCATGGTGGCCACCTACCTAGGATTTAATATCCTACGAGTTAACAGTAATTTTATTACTTAATTTGAGTTCAACCAAAAGAATGTGGAATTTGGATAATTAATTTATTTTGAAGTTGTTGTGATTAATTTGGAATTAGTTTATGTTGGAATTAAGTGAAATAATTTGGTATTGAATCAATATTTCAGGTAAGACAGAAATTGGAGCAGCGTAGTGGTTATTTTATTAAACGCTTTTGGATATCTATTATAGAATTTATGAGAAATTATATATATTCTAATAGAATTTCAAGAAAGTATATACCATGTAGGTTTTAGCATTTGTGTTAAGAATATAAGAAAATGCGTGAGAAAGAACTATTTTAGAAATGTTTATTAGAATTGAGAAATGCTTTATGATTTAGAGAAATGTTTGAGAAAAGTTATGAAATGTTATTTAGAAAGAGATTTCAGAAAATGAATTTAGAATTTCTATTTAGAAAGAAATATTTCATAAATGATTTGAGAAAGTTAGAAATGTTCTTAGAAAGAAGAAAGAATAATTTTAGAACGGTTTATGAGATTGAGAATAGTTTTCAAACCACCATGTTATGTATCGAGGTGATTACCCGTATGCTAGATAAATGTGTTTCTATAGTATACCCAGAAATAGAAGGTCTTTGGGACCATTTGACTCCACGTGTTAGAGAATTATTCTGCTATGCGTATTGAGATTAATCTATGCTAGTAGACCATAAATAGAATTATTCTGCTGTATGTATTGAGACTACGTTACGCCAGTAGACCATAATAGAATATG